CCAGTGGAAGGAGGGGCAGTTGTGGGGAGGCAATGCCTACCCTGGCCTCCATTACCCACCACCCATGCATACACACCAATATGTTTCTTTAAAAAAAATCATATATATAGACTTCTAATCTCTAGCAAGGATTCTGGCCCTATTCAGAAGTGATGTTAAGTCAGCATTATCTTCTCACTAGTAAGATTTAATGACTGCAAGTCTATGAATTTAACGGGCATGGGAGGACTATGAAAATATCACAAACCAGCAACACTTGAAAGGGAATTCTACTTTATTCAGGTTTTTATGCCACACTAATCACCTTGCTCCTTCCGACAGCAATAAAATTGTAATGGTTATTTTAAATGAATCCATCATTCAGTAAGTTCCTGGGTGCATTGACCGCAAGAATAAAAATGAACACCCATAAGTAGCCATTTACAACATAATGTAATGCAATTAGATGCATGTTCATCACAGAGATTTGAAGCTAACCCTTCTCAAAGTACTGAAATCTAGGCAAACATGCAGGAAAATGAGGACTAAACTTTCAAAGGTATTTAGGCACCTCTGTGCAGTTGAAAATCCCACTAGGTACCTATGCAGCTAGATACCTTTTCAAAATCTGGGCCCTTGAGTCTAGTTCAATGTGTTGCTGAGCCTCATTAATTTCACTTATGTCTGAGGAAAAGCCATTACCCAAACATATCAACCAAATAGCTAAATGTGACAGGGAGTATTCAGGCTTTGCAGCTCCTTGCTGTGGGTCTTGCGGTCCTGCTACATGCAGTCTCTAAGGCTGTGTCTAGACTACATGCCTCTGTCGTCAGAGGCATGTAGATTAGACACATAGGCAAAGGCAAATGAAGCCGCGATTTAAATGATCGCGGCTTCATTTAAATTTACATGGCTGCTGCGCAGAGCCGACAAACAGCTGATCAGCTGTTTGTCCGTTCAGCGCGCTAGTCTGGACGCTCCCCTGCCGACATCAAAGCCCTTTGTCGGCAGCCCCGGGAAAACTCATCCCACCAGGAATAACGGGGCTGCCGACAAAGGGGTTTGATGTTGGCAGGGGGGAGACCCGAAGATACGA